ACAATCAAGCCCTGCTCATATTTAAAAAGTAACGCGAAAGTAACGTAACGCATTACTTTCCATAAAAAGTAACTAAGTAACGTAATTAGTTACTTTTTTAGGGAGTAATGCAATATTGTAATGCATTACTTTTAAAAGTAACTTTCCCCAACACTGTCGGTCGCGGTCACGCAATCACTAAACAGCGCTGCGAGATCCAGTGACAAGCGCACGAGTTCTCCGATTTAAAAAAAATACATGTATCTGTTATTTGCACCTTTTGAAATGTACGTGCGTTTGGATGCATGTGAATCAATTTTAATTGGTTGATGTTTATTCATCTTCTCTAGATGTCCGATGATCGCAGCCATGATCCTTGATGTGTTCAATGTATTCTACTTTCCCAGGGGCAGAAAGACCTGCAGCCTAAAATACAGTCTTTGGCAAACCTATTTGGTAAAAATGTTTTTTTGCACACTTTGAATAGCTACTACCATTCACAAATACTGTGCAAATTTCTATGCTCCATACAGATTCACATTTTAGTGACTGTTAAAGTGTTTCTGTTGAAAATGTGACTTAACAATATGAGCTTACTCTTATAAAGCATTGTTTCTGTTAAATACATTAATGTAGGTGACAAACATGTCTGTTGTTGTTCAGTGTGCTTTTAATTGTTCTGATACTCCAGGTATTGTAATTGTATTTTTTTTGATTGAATGTTATTATGCAGTTAAGTCAGTATACGTCATCGAAATTCATCTTTGTTGTGTAACCCAAATAAAGTTGTTGATGTGAAGAAAAAATTGTTTTAATGATTTATAAATTTCTTAAAGCCAATAAACACAACAATATATAAACTGGAACATTTGAGTTTAGTCTGTTTGCCTTTTAAGTTATCTGTACTTAAAAAAAACAGTTAATTCAATGAGAAGACCACATTAGGTGAACTCAATTAAACTGAGTTGTCAATTTCCCATTACTCAATTAAACTGAGGGAATCACTTTCCTCAAATCATTTGAGTAGTCTCAACTTATTAGGGTTTACCGTGTACTGACACACTGAAGCAAAAGATAGAAATAACTGACTTAAAACCATTTTTTGTTGGTAAAAATAGTAGTGGCCTAAGACTTTTGCACAGTAGTGTGTATATATATATATATATATATATATCAAAATGACAAACTAGATCCATGGAATGGGGCACATTTTGGGGGGAATTTTATTTTATTTTTTTATTTTATTTATTTATTATGTTTTGTTTTTGTTGTAATTAACAGATCATCTTTAGCTAATGCATGATGTTAAGTAGACCTAACCATCATTTTACCTCTCATGAAGAAAACGGAATAAAAAAGTTAAAATTTTTTATAGACATTTTCCTATCAGTGTCTCAGTAACAGAATACCTAGAATCCTCCCAGTTCCCTAAATATCAGAATGTGGAAGTGAATGTACCTTTCGTTTAATTTAAGGAACATGATTGCATAATGGATTGTTATATAAGGGAGGTGTTCTTTCGATTTTTCATTGAAAGAAGCAAGTGATTGCTTATTTTACTACCATTTCACGTCTCAGAAAATGGCAATGGATTGCTCTGAAGAATACATTAAAATGGAGATGGAATGTGAACCAAAGAAATCATTTCGGAGAGGTTTGAAAGATTTATAAAATCACATTCTATTTGATACAGAAAGAAACTCTTTGAGAAATAGAGAAACTAACTTGAATCTTAAGGCATTAAACTAATTTGACTTTTACAGTTTAAGTCCTGCAATTACATTTTTTTATGTCTTGACACCTTTTTTAATTATCACTACAAAAGCAACTTTTATATCTGGAATGTAATTGGAATCGAGAATGCCATTTAGCAACATTTTTCTTCCATCAGCTTCAATTATTGATCACATTCATGTGCTTATTAATGTTTTGTGCTGATACATGTATCATTAGTACTTTTGCTTATACACAGTGCTTGTAATATTACTCTAAACTCTTTTAAAGTATTAAAGTCTAAAGGAGGAGAAGAAATGAACAACATAAATGAATCAAGGGTATGTTTTTGTTCTCTGCAGGTCTTCCATGCAGGAGACAAACTGGCATCCTTGTGCTTCTGGGAACAGTCTGCATGATTATTTTCATGGTCTTGACTTCTGTCATCTGTGAGTGGATTAAAATATTATGTTATAATATTATTTTTTTATTATTATATTATTATGATAAGAAACTTTTATATTTATATTTTGTGTTATACATTTTTTTCACCATTTTTCATAGTTGTCCAGTAGTATCACCAATTAATTTTTTAAATATTACAAATGTTAAATATATTCTCTCTATTAATATATTATAAAGCTGTTTAATCATACAAAAAAAGATTGTTTTGTTTTAAAATAGATTTAGAGTGTTACAGTGTTCTAAAAACTGCTCAGTTAACTAATTAACCAGTAACTGTAATATGAATCTTGTTCTTAGCTATTAACCGAGTTTACATAACCTCCAATGATAATCAGAGATTTGCATTACCACATGGAGAGAAGCTGGAAAATGTGACCGTTTGTCTATCTGTTTACTTTGGTTGAAAGATTCCCATCAAGAACGAAAGTTCTCAACGCTGGAGAGTTGGATGAAAAGCCACACTTCTGATCTAACCTCAGTCAAATCTGATTTTCAGAACACGGGTGAGAACTTCATCATCATTGTCACAGATCAGTTTTGCTGACGGACTTTTAATGAACAACTGCTTTTGATAGGAGGTGATCTAGAAAAGAAGGCTGCTGAGCTGCAGAACTTAGTGTTCAGCCTGAGTTCATATTTCAACACGTCTGGATCAAGTAACCCAGAGACCAGAGGTTGGTGTCTTGCCTTGTTTTATTTTGTGACAGATCGCAAGACCATTTAATTGAATTAAAAACAATTATTTGCATGCAAGTATAATATAATAATTCATGATTTTTTTTTTTTTGGTAATATTTTGATCATAAATTCATCATAAAGTTTCAACACAACACTTTTCAAATGGTGTTTTTGAATCATGAAATTTGGATTTTGGATTTTCCTCCATGAAAAATGTCACATTTCTAATGCTTGTTTGGGGGAAAATATTTAATGCAATGAATTTTTGCATGATTCAAGTTTCTGACTCTGACAGAAAAGTCAATCTCAACAGAGCACGATGGCTAACTATCCCTTTCCTCTTTGACTTCTGACCCTGAAAATAGTCTAAGATATGATATGTGCATAAAAAGCGTTGATTGTTTCCTTATTATCTGTCTCTATATGCATAAGAAATGCAAATAAAGAAGTTGTCTAATATTGAGACCCTGATGACCGCTCTTGGCTCGTCACTGAGTTCACTCGCATCCAAACAAGAAGAAAACCTACAAAAGCTGGGTGAGCACTGGACGTACTTTTCAGCTTTGAATCCTCAAACATAAAACAACATTTCAAGGGTTTGAAGCGGTTTATTAACTGGCCTAATGATGAAACGTTCTCTCTTTTTTCTCCTTCAGAGCGCCAGCAGGATGTGTCACACACTGAAGTCAAGAGTTTGATGGACAGTTTGAGTTCTGCACTAGCGGCCCTCAGGAATAAACTGACAGAAGACAGTTTGATAACATCTATTGTTTCTCTACAGTCTATTCCACGCACACAACGGCTCTTGAGTAAGACCTAAAATGATATTAATTCAAATGAACAGAAATATTAATTTAAAATCCAAATGTTGCTAAACATTTCCTTTAAAAATTTTAAATATTCTACAGAATTACGTTTTTCCTAAATGAGAGGAAATCATGCTGATATATTGTTTTTTTCTTCAACTGAAGTGGACATGTCAAGCTCACTGTCGGACCTGAAGCATTCAGTAGGGTTACTGAGATCATCTCTTCAAACTCTTTCTTATAAACTATCATTTACAAGTGAGTACATTCTAAACCCAAGGTGCAATATTGCACTCAAATATAAGCGGCTTCTGTTTTAATGCAGAATAACCACTGTTATTTCACCTGGAGAGTTCATAATGAAGGTGCATCAGGCAGCGCAACAAGAATGATAGCTTCAGTTACAGTATTTGATGATGTGATTCAAGTTTCTGACTCTGACAGAAAAGTCAATCTCAACAGAGCACGATGGCTAACTATCCCTTTCCTCTTTGACTTCTGACCCTGAAAATAGTCTAAGATATGATATGTGCATAAAAAGCGTTGATTGTTTTCTTATTATCTGTCTCTTTGACTCTATATGCATAAGAAATGCAAATAAAGAAGTTGTCTAATATTGAGACCCTGATGACCGCTCTTGGCTCGTCACTGAGTTCACTCGCATCCAAACAAGAAGAAAACCTACAAAAGCTGGGTGAGCACTGGACGTACTTTTCAGCTTTGAATCCTCAAACATAAAACAACATTTCAAGGGTTTGAAGCGGTTTATTAACTGGCCTAATGATGAAACGTTCTCTCTTTTTTCTCCTTCAGAGCGCCAGCAGGATGTGTCACACACTGAAGTCAAGAGTTTGATGGACAGTTTGAGTTCTGCACTAGCGGCCCTCAGGAATAAACTGACAGAAGACAGTTTGATAACATCTATTGTTTCTCTACAGTCTATTCCACGCACACAACGGCTCTTGAGTAAGACCTAAAATGATATTAATTCAAATGAACAGAAATATTAATTTAAAATCCAAATGTTGCTAAACATTTCCTTTAAAAATTTTAAATATTCTACAGAATTACGTTTTTCCTAAATGAGAGGAAATCATGCTGATATATTGTTTTTTTCTTCAACTGAAGTGGACATGTCAAGCTCACTGTCGGACCTGAAGCATTCAGTAGGGTTACTGAGATCATCTCTTCAAACTCTTTCTTATAAACTATCATTTACAAGTGAGTACATTCTAAACCCAAGGTGCAATATTGCACTCAAATATAAGCGGCTTCTGTTTTAATGCAGAATAACCACTGTTATTTCACCTGGAGAGTTCATAATGAAGGTGCATCAGGCAGCGCAACAAGAATGATAGCTTCAGTTACAGTATTTGATGATGGTCAATATAAATGAGGAGAAGCATTGTGGGGGGAAAGTAATATTCAGCACTATCTGGGTATAGGATTAAATTGATTTAATCTGCTCGAGACAAAAAAAAAAATGTGTGTAGAAATAAAAAAATAGGTCTGAGGGTGTGCAAAAAAATACTTAAAATCATACAACATCAGTACAGTGAAATAAGAATTTATGAAACCACCTCATAGCGAAAACTAGTCCTGTCCAAATAGGGTTTATAGGAGAGGTTCACCAAAATGAAAATTCAGTTGATTTCAATTAATTGTTCAATTAGTCATGTCCTCTTTTAATTTTTTGGTATCACTTTACAAAAAGGTTCATTAGTTAACATGAACTAAGAATGAACAATAATTTTACAGCATTTATTAATCTTAGTTAATGTATATTACATGCATTATTAAAATCAAAAGTTGTGTTTGTTCACATTAGTTGATGCACTGTGAATGAACAATGAACGACTGTATTTTCATTAACCAACATTAACAAAGATGAATAAATACTGTATGTACTGCTTATTGTTCTTTCATGTTAGTTAATAACTAACATTAACTAATGCAACCTTATAGTAAAGTGTTACCAATTTAGTTTTTACTGTGATGTTTTGATTAAATGTATTGCATGACTGAGTAAAAAACTATAATGTATGTCTTTCACGCACACTCTTTGTTTCTCTCGCTTACACAGACTTACTTACACCAGGATGTACTGAACCTGATTGGATCCCGTTCAGAAACAGCTGTTACCTGTTCTCACATTGGATTTTGGATTTTCCTCCATGAAAAATGTCACATTTCTAATGCTTGTTTGGGGGAAAATATTTAATGCAATGAATTTTTGCATGATTCAAGTTTCTGACTCTGACAGAAAAGTCAATCTCAACAGAGCACGATGGCTAACTATCCCTTTCCTCTTTGACTTCTGACCCTGAAAATAGTCTAAGATATGATATGTGCATAAAAAGCGTTGATTGTTTTCTTATTATCTGTCTCTTTGACTCTATATGCATAAGAAATGCAAATAAAGAAGTTGTCTAATATTGAGACCCTGATGACCGCTCTTGGCTCGTCACTGAGTTCACTCGCATCCAAACAAGAAGAAAACCTACAAAAGCTGGGTGAGCACTGGACGTACTTTTCAGCTTTGAATCCTCAAACATAAAACAACATTTCAAGGGTTTGAAGCGGTTTATTAACTGGCCTAATGATGAAACGTTCTCTCTTTTTTCTCCTACAGAGCGCCAGCAGGATGTGTCACACACTGAAGTCAAGAGTTTGATGGACAGTTTGAGTTCTGCACTAGCGGCCCTCAGGAATAAACTGACAGAAGACAGTTTGATAACATCTATTGTTTCTCTACAGTCTATTCCACGCACACAACGGCTCTTGAGTAAGACCTAAAATGATATTAATTCAAATGAACAGAAATATTAATTTAAAATCCAAATGTTGCTAAACATTTCCTTTAAAAATTTTAAATATTCTACAGAATTACGTTTTTCCTAAATGAGAGGAAATCATGCTGATATATTGTTTTTTTCTTCAACTGAAGTGGACATGTCAAGCTCACTGTCGGACCTGAAGCATTCAGTAGGGTTACTGAGATCATCTCTTCAAACTCTTTCTTATAAACTATCATTTACAAGTGAGTACATTCTAAACCCAAGGTGCAATATTGCACTCAAATATAAGCGGCTTCTGTTTTAATGCAGAATAACCACTGTTATTTCACCTGGAGAGTTCATAATGAAGGTGCATCAGGCAGCGCAACAAGAATGATAGCTTCAGTTACAGTATTTGATGATGGTCAATATAAATGAGGAGAAGCATTGTGGGGGGAAAGTAATATTCAGCACTATCTGGGTATAGGATTAAATTGATTTAATCTGCTCGAGACAAAAAAAAAAATGTGTGTAGAAATAAAAAAATAGGTCTGAGGGTGTGCAAAAAAATACTTAAAATCATACAACATCAGTACAGTGAAATAAGAATTTATGAAACCACCTCATAGCGAAAACTAGTCCTGTCCAAATAGGGTTTATAGGAGAGGTTCACCAAAATGAAAATTCAGTTGATTTCAATTAATTGTTCAATTAGTCATGTCCTCTTTTAATTTTTTGGTATCACTTTACAAAAAGGTTCATTAGTTAACATGAACTAAGAATGAACAATAATTTTACAGCATTTATTAATCTTAGTTAATGTATATTACATGCATTATTAAAATCAAAAGTTGTGCTTGTTCACATTAGTTGATGCACTGTGAATTAACAATGAACGACTGTATTTTCATTAACCAACATTAACAAAGATGAATAAATACTGTATGTACTGCTCATTGTTCTTTCATGTTAGTTAATAACTAACATTAACTAATGCAACCTTATAGTAAAGTGTTACCAATTTTGTTTTTACTGTGATGTTTTGATTAAATGTATTGCATGACTGAGTAAAAAACTATAATGTATGTCTTTCACGCACACTCTTTGTTTCTCTCGCTTACACAGACTTACTTACACCAGGATGTACTGAACCTGATTGGATCCCGTTCAGAAACAGCTGTTACCTGTTCTCACATGACACAATGAACTGGACCAAAGCAAAGGATTACTGTGAAGAGAAGGGCGCGTTACTCCTAAAAATAGAAGCTGGCTCTGAGAAGGAGTGGGTGCGTAACAGACACAAACACACACTTTTCCCTTAAAACTTTCCATTCAGTCTTTCAGAGATTCTTAACAACTTTTATCTCCCTTTCTAGCAATTTGTTACCAATTTTGCCAAACCACATGACTACTGGGTGGGTCTAACGGACCAGAACACAGGCCAGTGGAGATGGGCGGATGACACTCCTTACACCATGAATAGAGAGTGAGTTGAATATAGAGAGAACTGGATATTTCGGTTCTGGATAATTGAGTCTGATTATTGAGAACTCACATTCATGACCAAATATAAACAGATCGACATGATCCATGATCATATACTACCATATACTAAGTGTTTACTATTTATTATCTAGATTTTGGTGGCCCGCCATAGTCTAATCTGTCCCACCACAGTTTCATAATGAACCAAAAATATTTTAAGAAGCCGATCAGTATATGGGATGATTAGGAGGCCATGATGATGGACAGAGGCCAATGGGAGAATTTGGCCAGGATGCAGGATCCTGAATATCTTTGTCGTAGCATCCTTTCAGGGTTTAAGGGGATTTCCCATGGCTGGCGTCAGTGCTGTTCAATGCATGGAATCAACAGCATTGTTTTTTTTATGAGGTGAAAGGTCAGCTTCAGCGTTGACTGAAGGGTTTAATGAGGACTTTTGCTTTCCGCCACCTACTGGCGTAACAATGTAACTACACTGACTAGTGTTGATCGGTACTGCTGAAATATTATCATTATATAGTCAGTGGCATAAAGTGGTCTTAAAGGGATACTCCACCCCAAAATGAAAATTTTGTCATTAATCACTTACCCCCATGTCGTTCCAAACCCGTAAAAGCTTTGTTCGTCTTCGGAACACAATTTTAGATATTTTGGATGAAAACCGGGAGGCTTGTGGCTGTCCCATTGACTGCCAAGTAAATACACTGTCAGGGTCCAGAAAAGTATGAAAGACATTGTCAGAATAGTCCATCTGCCATCAGTGGTTCAACCGTAACGTTATGAAGCGACGAGAATACTTTTTGTATGCGAAGAAAACAAAAATAACTATTATTCTCCAAAATGGCGCTACGGTGATGCGGAGAGACAAATTGTTGAGATGAAAAGAGACGAATTGTTGAATAAAGTCGTTATTTTTGTTTTCTTCGCATACAAAAAGTTTTCTCGTCGCTTCATAGCGTTACGGTTGAACCACTGATGGCAGATGGACTATTCTGACGATGTCTTTCATACTTTTCTGGACCTTGACAGTGTAATTTACTTGGCAGTCAATGGGAGTCACAAGTCTCCCGGTTTTCATCCAAAATATCTTAAATTGTGTTCCGAAGACGAACGAAGCTTTTACGGGTTTGGAACGACATGGGGGTAAGTGACTAATGACAAAATTGTCATTTTGGGGTGGAGTATCCCTTTAAAATGACAATAATATTTTTTATCTCGATTATTTCTGGGGCAATATATCACCCAACAAAAAGTAGTTATCGTGACAGGCCTACTGCAAGTAAAACAATATACTTATGAAATACTCATTTTTAATTTACATTGCATTTGTTTTACAATACATAGCCTACTACTTGTGTAAGGTATAATAATAATAATAATAATAATAATATAAAAGTATAATTATTAAGGTCAAAGTCAATTTATTTATATAGCACATTTAAAAACAACTAGTGTCTGCCAAAGTTCTGTACATAAACAAATAAACACATTAAAATATTATTATATTTTAATTGTTTGCCTTCTTAAAACAACAGTGTGAATGTAATGTAGACTGACACACTTTATCACAACTAAAAAGAGGTTTCAGTCAAGGTAAAAGTCAATGCAAAGAATTTTCACACTGAACATTTGTTTGAAGCTCTTTTTTTTTTTTTTGAACGTGCACCGGATTGATGCTCTTAACTTTAAAATCTACAACATTTTCTTGACAGAGGTCCTCCCACCATAGACTCGCAGAATCCTGTGGGAAACACTGCTAGCATAATAAACAAACTATAAATGAATATGCAACAGATTTTAGTTTTTATTTTTGCAGACACTGGAGCCCTGGGCAGCCAGATGACTGGACCGAACACGGCCTGGGGGAAGGAGGAGAGGACTGTGGGCAAATTGCTGCATATGATGGGATGCTTAATGATGCCCACTGCTCTACCAAAATGAAGTATATATGCGAAATGCAAAACTGAATAAAGAAAATTCTGAAAGCGCAGTGTAAATAGGCTTTGTTTTGACTGTATTGAGTTTTCGATGGTGCACACGCTTTAAAATAAACAAACTGTTTTAATCGAAAACAGAGCTCTTTCTGCACTAAAATGTTGATTTTGACATTTGACAAATTCCAAAAAATAACTTAATAAAACAGTGTAGGCTACATAGATGTAATAGCTAGGACAAATACAACCATATGGCAAAAAACATGTATTATTTACCAGTATATTTCTTGGCATTTTAAAAAATATATATAATTTAAAAAATATATTTTGTCCTCCAAATATTTCAGTCTAAGAAATAAATTCACATAGGTCACGGTCACGATCTCCAGTTGAGGTGCCCATGAGCTCCTCTAGAGGGCACTCCATCTCAGACTTTGCCTTGCCCTGGATATAGTTTGCTGGTGTTTGAACTTGCCTGTTTTAAAGGGGTCATATGATGCTATTTTAAAGATCATTATTTGGTGTATTTGGTGTAACAGAATATGTTGACATGCTTTAATGTTCAAAAAACACATTATTTTTCAAATACTGTAAATACTGTAAGGTCCTCTATTAGGTAGGCGTGGCTGACTCTTAACTTTTATAAAGAATATCTCTTTGGATTTGAGACTTTAGTCTTTGCAACTTTACAGATCTTCTTTATGCACCAAGGGCTTGTAACACTCCAAAGAGAAAGGAAAACTTGAAATCGCATCATATGACCCCTTTAATAAAGCTTGCATTTGGATCTACAACTCCATTGTCACGCCCGTCCGTTACAGTCACATTTTCAAATTGTATTTGTCTGTAACACATGAGAACATATACCACATTTTGATTTAAAAAAAAAATCAGCAAGGAACATACTTTATGTAAAACTAAATAAAAAAAATAATAATTAAGTTATTTTTAAGTCATTATAAAGCTTTGATAGGCTATTCCATCCATATTTGTAGGCTACTGTAAGAAATATTTTCTTTTCATTTTGAAATATATTTTGGTATGTGAAGGTTGAAGCTAAATATATTTTCAACTTCAAAAATATATTTCATTGAGCTTCATTGTTTACAACATATATTTAAAATATGTTTTGCCAGAAAAAAAATATTTTTTTTGGCTGTATGGGAAAACTTATGTTAAATGTTAAAAAGGTTAGTTGTGTGTTAGCTATTATGAAGTTGTGTCACTCAACTGAATAAATTAGAACTGAGGTGGTCTAGCAAACTGGGAACAAACAAGAGGCAAACAAACCATAGTGCCCTTGAGTGAAAAAAAGATGAAAACACTGAGCAAGCAGTCGTTTAGCTGATGCATTTATCCAGAATGGCTTTGTTACAGGACCCCCATCTGAGGTGAAGTGCCTTGCATTGCTCCTTGTAATGAGGAACTGAAAGTGCTGTTATATACAATGCACAAAAATACCCTGTCATATGGTCATTCCAGTGGCGTTGTTTCGAAAAGGACTATTAATAAGGGAGGCGTTTTGGATCCTCACTATAGGAAGCAAGTAACTGCAAGAGCTGTTGTCATGATGCTATATCAGAAAAATGATAGTTCTGAAGAAATCATGAAAATGGACATGGAATATGAAAAGAGGACGACATTTCGCAAAGGTTTGCTAGATTTATGAAACTAAACTGTATTTGGTTCGGAATGAATCTACGTTTTTGTGTTATATATATGAGAGAAAGAGAGATTTAGTTAGTTTTCCGGAACAAATATCGATACATTCTTAGATCTAGATATTTACTTAGAAGTAAAATTACATAAGAGAACAAGTCTTGTTTTCTGAAAAGTGCATAAAAATTAAGTGACTTTGTTTAAAATAAGATCTATCAATGGGGGTAAGAAAAATAAACTTGTTTTCCATTTAAATTAAGTTTATTTCTTTTACCCCACTGGCAGATATTTTTTCTTATTTTAAGTATAAACTCATTTTAATAATTTTTTTTTTTTTTTTTTTTTAAAAGACTTAATATCTTAAGTCATTTTGCTTAATAAATCTTGATTTAAAAATGTTAATATATTTTTACTGGAAAACAAGACAAAAATACTGAGAAAGGACATCATTTTTGCAGTGTTATGTCTGTGAACACTTTATAATCACTTCATTAATAAAAAATAAAAATGCATTATATAATGCTTAACAAAATAATAAACATTGAAATAGTTACAATTATTAAGAAACTTTATTTATATTTGAATGTAAATAAACTACTGATCTGAACATAATGCTAATTAATGACTAATGTAATGTAAAGTCAATTCAATTGTATTTGTATACTCATCAAGCAGGCACGTATTTAATTAAATTTCCTTATGTCAAACATTATATATTTGCAATAATAGTCATGTTAATAAACATTCCTGATCATATTGCACATGAGTATATTACTTTAAAGGCTGATGCAAATTTGGCACAAAAATTTGGCACAAATGTCACATTTTCTAGTGAAAGAATTGTACATTTCTCGTGGTGTGTTGTTTTTTGCAGATCGATGTAACAGACAAACTGGCATCCTCCTAATTCTAGGAGTTTGCATGATTGTTTTCATGACCATGACTTTCGTCATCTGTGAGTGGATTAAACAACATACAATCTTTATGTGTCATGCTATAAATATTTCAGAAAGTGAGCTGTAATGCAAAAAAAGGAAACTGGAAACTGTAATTGAATAAAGTATTTGCAGAGTATTTATACATAACGGTAATGGTATGCTGGTATACATACTGCCTTTATATTAAGCTGATTAGACAAAATCTTTGTTTTCACTCACAGTTTCGCATCAACAAAGAAAATTCTCGATGCTGGAGAGTTGGATGAACAGTCAGAGTTTAAATCTAACTTCAGTCAAACCTGATCTTCAGAACACAGGTGAACACCTAAAACAATACTTCACACAAAAATGATAATTAGCTGAAAACATACTCATCCTCAGGTCATCCAAGATGCAGATTTAAGAGATTCAGCATTGCATCACTTGCTCACCAATGGATCCTCTGCAGTGAATGGGTGCCGTCAGAATGAGAGTCCAAACAAGTGATGTAATGCTAAATTTCTCCAAATCTGTTCAGAAACTTATCTACATCTTTCATTTTTGGGTGAAGTATTCCTTAGATCCCTTTTTTTCTAAGCACTACATACTCATATTTGAACATGCATATCTTCAGATCAAGCAGTGACTAGTGATTAGTTTCTTGTCTTTGCCCATTTGTGGTCCTTAACTTCAGAAAAAAAAAATTATATTAATGTCTCTATCACTTTATACAACATAAGAAGTGCAAGAAAAGTCCAATATTGAGCCTTGATGATCAATCTTGCCTCTTCATTGAGTTCAATCATTTTTGTAGGAAAACCTACAAAAGCTGGGTGATTATGTACCTTTAAATCTTCCAAAACCAACACATGAATATGAGCTGTCTAAATAAATCATTTCTTCACAGAGCGTCAGGATGTGTTATACACTGAAGTGAAGAGTTTGATGCTCGGTTTGAGTTCTGCAGTATCAGCGCTGACATCCAAACTAAATGACGCAGGTCTGCAAATCTTTTCATTTCAAGGAAATGAGACAACCACAAGAAATCATTTTAAGAGCAATCTCTTTGAACATATATATTCTTCATTGTTTATCAATCTAATATGATTTTTTTCCCCTTTCATAGTTGGCAAGCAGGACCAGAAACAGACTGAAACAAAAATATTATTAGACAGTTTGAGCTCATCTGTTACTTCTCTACAGTCTGATCAACAAAAGAAACAGTGTGACTTTGGTAAGACAGAAACCTAAAATGAATATACATGTTCTATTATTTTTTTTTATTATTATTATTTCTGCACCCAGCAAACTTAAGGAAAGTAATAAGTCATAAAAATATCTAAAGTGAACATATAATTCATCTGGAAGCATGTGAACTCAGAAAGCTAAATCCTAAATTGGGCCGCATTCAAATCTCAGCATTATTATCTTATTAGAGACATGTGTGAATATAATTCCAAGGAATTTCAATTTCAAGGAATGATAAAAATGTGAAAAATATTCATATTTAATTTCAGAGAAGTAAGTGCAAAAAGTATAAAGGGAATTTGGTCATTTTAATTTTTTACATTACTTAATTACATGAACTAACAATGAACAATACTTCAAAAGCATTTATTAATCTTAGCAAATATCAATATTTGTGACCCTGGACCACAAAACCAGTCATAAGGGTCAATTTTTCGAAATTGAGATTTATACATCGTCTGAAAGCTGAATAAATAAGCTTTCCATTGATGTATGGTTTGTTAGGATCGGACAATATTTGGTCGAGATACAACTATTTGAAAATCTGGAATCTGAGGGTGCAAAAAAATCTAAATATTGAGAAAATCATCTTTAAAGTTGTCCAAATGAAGTTCTTAGCAATGCATATTACTAATCAAAAATGAAGTTTTGATATATTTACAGTAGGAAATTTACAAAATATGTACTTACTTTACTTAATGTCCTAATGATTTTTGGCATAAAAGAAAAAACGATCATTTTGACCCATACGATGTATTTTTGGCTGTTGCTACAAATATACCCCAGCGACTTAAGACTGCTTTTGTGCTCCAGGGTCACATTTACCGTGTTGAAGAGTCTCTGTCGAGCTCACTGAGGGACTTGAAGAGTTCAGTTTCAGATCTCACTTCTTCTGTCGCATCTATTTCTTCTCGACTATCCGTCAGCAGTGAGTAAAACCTTACATTACACGTGCAATACAGCACTCGATTCCATAACAGTCCAGTAAATGCAACATCTTCCCACAAACTTCTTGTTCACAGTGCAGGATGTGTCGCAAAGTGACATAAAGAGTTTGATGAACAGTTTGAGTTCTGCAGTGTCAGCGCTGACGGCGCAGCTGAATGATGCAGGTGTGGAGATCTTTCAATAACATCACATAAATATTATTATCTGTGGATTTTTAAACTGCAGTGCTTTTTCCCTCCCAGTTAACAAGCAGGACCAGAAACAGAATGAAACAGAAAGATCACTGGACAGTTTGAAGGCATCTATAGAGTCTGATTTACAAAACAAACAACGTGACTTCGGTAAAAGCATTATTATGAGCTATTGAGATAGAAGCATTAATACATAGAAATCTGCACAGAATAATAGAATGTCATATAATAATTGTATTATGCACTTCTATAATTGCTCCTAGTGAAAAGAAAAATCACTATAAACTCCTATGCGCACAGTGACCTTGCTGATACTGTCTAATTTACGGCTTTTGTCTCGTGTTGAAGAGTCTCTGTCGAGCTCACTGAGGGACCTGAAGAGTTCAGTTTCAGATCTCACTTCTTCTGTCGCATCTATTTCTTCTCAACTATCAGTCAACAGTGAGTAAACCTTACATTATATGCGCAATACAGCACTCGATTCCATTAACTCTACAATCAGGGTGTGAATTATAGAGTGAGGTGGTTCGAACCCCTCCAGAGGACATCAAAGTGAAAGTATTTAGTCGATATATTTCATAAGACATGCTTCAATAGTTCTGTTTGAATGAAACAAGTCTTAAAGGAATAGTTCACCCAAAAATGAAAATTTGCTGAACATTTATTTGACTTTAAACTGTCGCTTTTAGTCAAAATACGAGTCCTCTATCTATAATATTGCTTTCTATCCAGAAATATGCACAGATCAAGCACCGTTTACAAGCATAAACAGTCTAAAACTGTTAAAAATATATGTTGGAGGATTTTGATGTGAGAGACAACAGGAGATGGACTTTTTCACTGGAGGAAGAGTTATTATGGATTATGGACTTGTATTTTACAAAGAGGCAATGGTTTGAAGTTAAAAACGTCTTAATGATGGATTTGTTTCTCACAAACATGCAGCTTTTCACTTCAGAAGACGTTAATTGATGGACTGGAGTGGTGTGGATTACTTGTGGATTATTGTGATGTTTTTATCAGCTGTTTGGACTCTCATTCTGACGGCACCCATTCACTGCAGAGGATCCATTGCTGAGCAAGTGATGCAATGCTACATTTCTCCAAATCTGTTCTGATGAAGAAACAAACTCATCTACATCTTAGATGGCCTGAGGGTCAGGACATTTACAGCAAATTTTCATTTTTGGGTGAACTATCCCTTTAAAAAGAGTCATGGTAATAGCATTATACAATCTACTACATTCAACATCTAAATGCAACATCGGTCCACACACTTCTTTTCCACAGTGCAACAGCAGGATGTGAAAAGCTCGATGAACAGTTTGAATTTTACAGTATCAGCACTGACATCTACACTAAATGATGCAGGTGTGGAAATATTTTCATATTTTCACATTGTTCATATTATCTGTGTATTGAAGGACATCATTTGTTTAACTGCATCCTTTTTTTCTCCCAGTTAAAAAGCAGGAACAGAAACAGACGGAAACAGAAAGATCACTGGACAGTTTGAAGTCGTCTGTACAGTCTGATCAACAAAACAAACAGCGTGACTTGGGTGAGACAGAAACATAAAATCATACAGCTAATATTTACAGAAGCATGAATACATAAATGTTTGTGTTAGACTTGCATAATATAATTCAATAACAGTTTACAATAAGGTCCCATTAGTTATTGTTCATTAATGCATTAGTCATTAGTTAACATGAGTTAATAAAAATATACCTTTTCATTTGTTAGTTCGTGTTAGCTCTGGTTCCTTAAATAATATTAAAAGATACAACTTTTGATATTAATAATGCATTAGTAAATGTTGACATTAAGATGAATACATGCCTTATGCATTTTTAATTGTTAGTTCATGTTAACTACTATTAACTGCATTGCCTACAAGCCTGTCTCATAAATCACATTTAGGGCTTTTGTCTTGTGTTAAAGAGTCTCTGAAGAGCTCATTGAGTGACCTGAAGAGTTCAGTGTCAGATCTCACTTCTTCTGTCGCATCTATTTCCTCAAAACAACAAACCTCTGGTGAGTGCAAACCACAGAAACTAACTAGAGGGGAAAACGGGAACCAAGGAAACATACATAGGAAATAAAACCAAAACAGGCCATTATCCCGACATGCACTCACTATTTCAATATTATTGCAGTTGAATCTATTGAATACGGTATGTCTTTAAATTCATTATTAGTTGAATACAAAATGAAGTCGAGTCAAATAAAATCGACGAATCGCGACACCGCTGCAGAGTAACACATACCTGCGTGAATCGCCATAGACATAAACTTAGAGAAGTAGCTCCGGTTGGAATGTTCTTCCGCGGGATGTGTGCAGTTCTGTTTATTAACCGCTAGAGCGCCAAAAGTTACATAGTGCTGCTTTAAGGCTGAAATTATTTTTTACATTGAATTAATTAGATTGAAATTGAATTCACAGGACACTGCCTGACTGATGTGTTTTCTTGTTGTGTTCAATCAGAGGAAAGAGTCATGAACGCTCTGAAGGGGCTGATAACTAATACGAGCGCTAAAAAAGCAGGTATTTAGCACTAATTGACATGATTACATGTGCTTTCACTTACTTTAACTTAAAAACTTTAAGTATAATCAAATTGGCTGTCATTTATTTTTTTCCAGTTCATTTAAATAATATTAAACTGACATAAAATAAAATCTCATATAACTTAAAAAATAATGTTAAAATGATATGGATGAGTTAAAGTAATGAAAAAGCATATGTTGCCGTGATTTATCAATCATTTTTTACAGTGTATATTCTCTCCTTTCTTTCGTACCTCTCACATTTGGCATGTTTTCTCTCTCTCCGACACAGACGTCTCTGTGGCCAACTGTAAATGTGGCTGGATCTTGTACAAAAGCAGCTGTTTCTTGTTCTCTAGTGATCAACTCAACTGGTCTGGGGCCCGAGATTACTGCAAAGCGCAGGGCGCGCTACTCCTGAAAATACAAGAGGACGATGAGGAGTGGGTGTGTAATATTCACACACATAATATAATATTTGCTTTTCATATTTTTCCCTCTTTCTCATTTCTTATTTCCCCCCCTAGGCCTTTCTGAACAATCAAACCATACCCACAAGCTACTGGGTGGGTCTAACGGATCAGACCACAGGCCAGTGGAGATGGGCGGATGAAACTCCTTACACCATGAATAAAGAGTGAGCTGATTTATTATAAACGAACACGCGTGATTCACAACAACTCGCATTTCTGAGCAAACATGCACTATAATAATTTACCTTTGAATAATATGCACTGGCTGTCAATGTTAATGTTTTTAAAAGAAGTCTCTCATGTTCACTGAGGATGCATTTATTTGATCAAAAATACAGTAAAAACATTAATATTGTGACATTATTACAATAATAGCATACTATAAAATGTAATGTATTTCTGTGATGCACAGCTGAATTTTCAGCATCATTACTCCAGTCTTCAGTGTCACATGATCTTCAGAAATCATTCTAATATGCTGATTTGCTGCTCAAGAAACATTTCTGATTATTATTATCAATGCTGAAAACAGCTGTGCTGCCCGATATTTTTTGTGAAAGCTGTTACCCCAAAATTTTGGGGTAGCTTAAAAATAGTAATACTAATACTTTTATTCAGCAAGGATGCATTAAATTGATCAGAATTGACAGTAATGTCATTTATAATGTTACAAAAGATCCTGTTTCAAATAAATGCTATTATTTTTTAACCTTTTATTAATCAAAGAATCATGAATAAAAATCAGCATATTAGAATGATTTCTGAAGGATCATGTGACACTGAAGACTGGAGTAATGATGCTGAAAATTCAGCTTTGATCACAGAAATAATATGCTTTACAAAATATTCAAACAGAAAACAGTTATTTGAAATAATAATATTTCACAATGTTGCTCTTTTTTACTGTATTTTTGACGGTGAGTAGATGAGACTTCTTTCAGAAACAAAAATCTCAATTATTCCAAACTTTTGACCACAAGCGTATTTATTCCTCCATGAGGTTATGTACACATTTTGGCCTTAGGATGGCGCTACATTTACATGTTTATTCTATTCATAAGTATGGCCTAATATAATGGTCACATAGTTTTCAATTTCCATTTCACAGGATGTGTTCTTTAATATTTGGCATTTGTGGTTGTTGTTGTTTTTCTTCTCAATGATTGCAGTTATGAATAGGAAAGAAAGCAGCTACATCAAGACAATGTATTTGTCAAGTAAATGCATCTTGCATTAAACAAATATTTCAGTTGTTTAAATTGTTGCTGGTAGTGTTGGGATTAAATGCATAACATAAACTGAACTTTAGATGGGATGCCAGAAAGGTGCTCTATATGCACGCAGATGTAATAGTGCAATATTTGTTGGCAGACGCTGGAATCCTGGGCAGCCGGATGACTGGACAGAACATAATATGGGAGAGGGAGGAGAGGACTGTGGGCAGATAACAGCTACTGGGAAACTGAATGACAACCACTGCTCTGTCAAAATGAGATTTATATGCAGAGTGCAATTCTGAAACTCAACATGTCTGTGATGAAGTTTGGTCAAAATGACAAGGAAGATTAAATCTCTTTTAGAGTGGTTAGTTGCATCACACTGTGTAAGACCCTTCAAAACCTGTGTTTTTTTTTAACCTTTTTAATAGAAATAAAAATATTTCACCAGTAGTTGGCTGCTTTCTGTCTGTTCCTGTAGGGCCCAATCTCAGGAAACCTACGGTCCACTGGAGATGCTCTGATGGTTCCCAGCATTTATATTAGAGGTCAAGAAATATGGGTTTTAACGCCAAACCTAAATATACAGTCATGTATAGCTGAAACTATTATTACTAATGTCACCAGTTCCTGATAAATTCCTTGTGGGAAAATAAAAAAAATATATATTTTAGTATCATTAGTAATATAGTATTCATTTACATTTTAAATATGTTTTAATTTTAGTTTAATTTTTTGCCAGCTTTACTGTTTTTAATATATAAAATATGAAAAAAAAAACAATACGTCTATTTCGTTTTTATTATTTTTATTTTAGTTTTAGTCCTTTTAGTACTTCAACTTGAATTTGAATTTTTTTTAATGTTTTAATTACATTTAGCATTTATTTTATTTAAGTGAATGTGATAGATTTGGTTGGGAAAATTCATTATGTCAAATGCAGTAAACAGTATCAACATAAGCTTAATTCGTTTTTATTTTTAGATTTTTCATTATATAGTGAATTTGTTCTTATTATTTTGGTTTTCGTCCTTTTGTGTGTTTTTTTTATTTAGTTTTTTATGTCTATTTAGATTTTTTTTTTCAATTTGAGTTATTTTCAGTTTTAGATTTATTAATTTTAGAATTAAACTAAATTAAAAGCTGTTGCCTTGGCAACTAGCTAAAAACATTTACTGAAGATTTCCCATATTTTAAATTAACATTAATTTTATTTAAATTAAATTAAAATAAAATAGTTTTAGTTGGGAAAATACATGTTGACAAAACTTTAAAAGTTGCCTTAAACCTTTGTACTTGTTAAATATGTCATGTTTGGATGAGCAAAACTTTCACTTTCATTTCAGTTTAAGTTCATTGTCATACTGTGTTTTCAAAGCTGAAGTTGAATGTGCATTTGTACTAAAATGCCTTGTTGAAATATGCACTCTACGTATTTGAAATAAATCTAACTATAATCTTTTATTTTGACTGGTTACCCTAATTCTGGTAATTACCCGAAAAAGCAGTAAACGGCATCAACAGAAGTTTGCCTGTCCCACGCCTGCCAGCTAATCATTACAGCTCCTGAACAATCATTACACCACCAACACCACTTACTCTCGTAATCTCAGTTTGCTTTCACACCACTCAGTCTCTCTGAAGAAGCATGGCGGAGGAAGAGGAGGCCGGCAGACCCACATGGAGCAGGCAGATAGAGTTCACTCTGGCTGGGATCGGCTGCGCTGTGGGCTTGGGGAATATCTGGAGGTTCCCGTACCTGTGCTACAGGAGCGGTGGAGGTAAGACACAGACTGGTTAACTAATGTTCCCGACTAATGCTAACTAATGCTATGAATCTGGTTTAAAGATGTTTTTCTCCCATGACTCATGTGCCATTGTATTACAACTTTCATTGGACTTTTGCTGTGAAAACTGGCATTATGCATGCATGCATATGAATTTGAGTCTGTTATCTTCTGTTGTTATTTAACAATTTCACCTTTACCTTTCAGACTGTAAAAGTTAGATCATATGTCCACACGTGAATGACAGTGGATAAATGAGTTTATCTGTAACTGTAACAGTGCGTAAGATCAACCATGACTCTGCAGTCCATCTCAGATCACATATTCAGATTTACATTTATATATTTACCATTTACACTTATACATTCAGAATTATAACCATATATTCAGGTTTACATTTATATATTCAAACTTTCCATTTAAGTACATTAGAAATATACATATTGCGACACTAATGTATTCAGTTTTGCATCTGTATATTCAGAGTTATAATAGTGTATTTGTATTTTAATTTTTTAATTCACTATTTACATTTACATAATCAGTTATAAAATATTCATAATTTTCATTTATGTATTCAGAATTTTAACTATATATTCTGATTTACATTTTTATATTTAGTTATAATTATATATAGATTTACATTTATATAATCACAATTTCCATTTATATATTCAGAATTATAACTATATTCCGTTTACATGTATATATTCAGATTTACATGCATATTGCATGCATTCAGAGATATAACTATATTTTTGTATTTACATTTTTAAAATCACAATTTACATTCCTATAATCATGAGTTATAATGAGTATAACTTACATCCATAATTAACATTTACATATATACAGTGGGTACGGAAAGTATTCAGACCCCCTTAAATTTTTCACTCTTTGTTATATTGCAGCCATTTGCTAAAATCATTTAAGTTAATTTTTTTTCCTCATTAATGTACACACAGCACCCCATATTGACAGAAAAACATATTCGGATTTACCTTTACATACTTAGTTACAACTATAAATTTGGATTTAGATTTATATATTTACAATTTACATTTATATTTTCATAATTGTAACTATACATTTAGATTAACATTTATATATTCAAGAGTTACAACTATATATTCTGATTTACATTTACAGTATATTTTCACAATTTACATTTCTATATTCAAAATTATTACTATATATTTGTATTTACACTTTTAAATGCACGATTTACATTTAAAAATTCAGGATTTTTAAATATATTATTTAGATGTCATATGATTATTTCCTGTTTCCTGGTTTAATTATAGTATAAAGGAATGTGCGGTATATCATACATCAAGTGAAATTGAATGAACACACTTATTTTCCAAACTGGAAGCAGGTGTGGTCATCTGTGCATCTCTCAGTTAAATGTTGATGTGTTTATTGTCATCCTCAGGTGCGTTCCTGGTACCTTACCTGCTGATGCTGGTGGTGCTGGGGATCCCGCTGCTGCACATGGAGCTGACGCTGGGCCAGTATCTGAGGAGGGGCCCCGTCCTGGCCCTGACCAAAGCCTGTCCCCTGCTGAAAGGTTAGAGAGCACAGATAATTTCAAGTTTAATGCTGTATACAGACTTTCAGATCCATATAGATGCAATATCATTGTCGCTGATAATGATTAGATGATATGGGAATATATTACTATTCTATTCTATTCGCTCTTATTAATTTAAAATAAAAAAAACACCTTGCTATGTGTACTGTGCTAGACTAACTGCGACTTGTCACAGCACTTGTATACTGTTGCTCTCTTGTTGGTCTGATTGCTTCTATTGTTCTCCTCATTTGTAAGCTGCTTTGGATTAAAGCGTCTGCTAAATGATTAAATGTAAATGTAAATATATTACGGACTCAGCGTCTGGCTAAAGGTCAGTAACCTGTAATAAATCTATCCAGGTGTTGGCATGGCAACGGTGGCCATCTCTTTCATCATGTGCACATACTATAATGTCATTATCACATGGGCGCTGTACTACATGTTCAGCTCTTTTCGGAGCGAGCTGCTCTGGGAAAACTGCAACAACACATGGAACACGGCCAACTGCACCGACCGTGTGACCAACAGCTCCTCGTCCTCCACCGCCAGCCAGCAGTTCTTCAAGTGTGTTCATACGCTTTTCTTGTTAAAGCTACACTGTGTAACTTTTTTTCTGTTCGAAATTAACATTTAAATAATGAGCGAGTACATCATGCCAGCTAACAAAAGTATGTTCCAAGAACGTTTTGCTAATGTTCCCATTAAGTTATCTAAATGTTATCTCTGAATGTTCTCTGAACATTTAAAGGGGTCATATGATGCGATTTCAATTTGTCCTTTCTCTTTGAAGTGTTACAAGCTCTTGGTGCATAAAGAAGATCTGTAAAGTTGCAAAGACTAAAGTCTCAAATCCAAAGAGAATGTTCTTTTTAGCAACATCATATGACCACTTTAAAATGTCCAGTGTTTTGAATGTTTAAAAAACGTTTTATTGGTTATGTGAACATTTTAAGGGAACATTCCATTTGTACTAAAATATTCAGAAAAAGGCTCCATGAACGACAACAGTGTTTTAGTGCTAACATTTTGAGAATGTTATTAAAGACGAGATAACTTCAGCGTTCTATTAACATTACTTGGAAGAATGTTTATTCATAATTTTGAAAGAAATCTTGACAGAATGTTAGCCAAAGTTCTGAGAACATTCCCTGTTAGCTGGGGTAACACCATCTTCCAAAACGTACTTGGCCTTACCCTAAATTAATATAGTAAGCTTATACTTATGTTTTAGAGCTGTCGGGACGGATTTCCCGGGAAACCGCATACATACGTCATTCATCCGTGTGTGTTTATGTCACATCCGTAAATAAAGGAAAGAAGGGCAGGCGACTATAGTAGCTTGAAGTTACAACAAATGAACCTCGAACCTAGACGGGGAAGCGCACGTAATAAAACACGCATCAACATAGTTAGCATATTGGATGCATGGACTATTTTCACAAAACAATGTTGCCAATCTCCAAGTCAGTTACTCCTTGGTTATGTTTAAAGCCAGCGTTGCCAGACTTTTCTAACGTTATTTTAAAACAATTGGTTTCAACAAGTCAAAACAACAGCGGCATATAAGCTACTTACCTGGTCATAACATAAAACATTTTTAAGATATTCGTCTTTATTTCGAGAGTTTTGATGTCGCACAAGACTTCAGATTCATCCGCGCAGAATAGTGGAGCCGAAGCACTACTCACGCAATGACCGAAACAATGTTCCTCCGCAAGTAACTAGTTACATAGTGTAGCTTTAAGTTTTGATTTGTTAATGAAGTTTGTCGTATTGACCGCAGTGGATGTGTCGGCTGTGTTAGTTATAAGGTGCTGGAGAGGACCAGTGGTGTGGAGGAGACGGGCAGCTTGAGGTGGGAGCTCTTCCTCTTGCTGCTGCTGGCCTGGATCCTCGTCTACCTCTGCATCTTTAAAGGAGTCAAATCCACTGGGAAGGTAAGACGTGAACAGATGAAGAACATCAGTCAGCATCTCACTGGTCAAAGTCTACAAA